ACACACATATGAAAGACCCCTTGGGGCCAGCGATCATGTGGTTTTGAGCTTCGAATACACAGTAGAGCTACAAGTGGAGGGGGAAACAGGAAGGCCACGACGAATGAAACCAAACTACAGGAAAGGGGACAACACAGGAATGAGGAACTTCCTGAATGAGGTTCAGTGGGACAGAGAACTGGCAGGGAAGCCAGTTAATGAGATGATGGAATATGTAGCAACAATGTGCAAGGAGGCTGAGGAGAGGTTTGTACCCAAGGGTAACAGGAATAATGAAAAAGCCAGGATGAGCCCATGGTTTACCCAAAGGTGCAGGGAGGCAAAAACCAAGTGTGCTAGGGAATGGAAGAAATATAGAAGGCAAAGGACCCAGGAGAATAAGGAGAACAGTCGTAGAGCCAGAAACGAATATGCACAGATAAGAAGGGAGGCCCAACGTCAATATGAAAACGACATAGCAGCAAAAGCCAAATCTGACCCGAAGCTGTTATACAGCCACATCAGGAAGAAAACAACCGTCAAGGACCAGGTAATCAGGCTAAGGAAGGAAGGAGGAGAGACAACAAGAAATGACAGTGAAGTATGTGAGGAACTCAACAAGAGATTCAAAGAAGTGTTCACAGAGGAGACAGAAGGGGCTCCAGAAAGACAGAGAGGTGGGGTACACCACCATGTGCTGGACACAGTACACACAACCGAGGAAGAAGTGAAGAGGCTTCTGAGTGAGCTAGATACCTCAAAGGCAATGGGGCCATATAACATCTCTCCATGGGTCCTGAGAGAAGGAGCAGAGGCGCTATGTGTACCCCTAACAACAATATTCAATACATCTATCGAAACAGGGAGATTGCCTGAGGCATGGAAGACAGCAAATGTGGTCCCAATCTTTAAAAAAGGAGACAGACATGAAGCACTAAACTACAGACCAGTTTCACTGACATGTATAGTATGCAAAATCATGGAAAAGATTGTCAGGAGAAGAATGGTGGAACATCTAGAAAGGAATGATCTCATCACCAACAGCCAACATGGTTTCAGAGACGGGAAATCCTGTGTCACAAACCTACTGGAGTTCTATGACATGGTGACAGCAGTAAGACAAGAGAGAGAGGGGTGGGTGGATTGCATTTTCTTGGACTGCAAGAAGGCGTTTGACACAGTACCACACAAGAGATTAGTGCAAAAACTGGAGGACCAAGCAGGGATAACAGGGAAGGCACTGCAATGGATCAGGGAACACTTGTAAGGAAGACAGCAGCGAGTAATGGTACGTGGCGAGGTGTCAGAGTGGGCACCTGTGACCAGCGGGGTCCCACAGGGGTCAGTCCTAGGACCAGTGCTGTTTCTGGTATTTGTGAACGACATGACGGAAGGAATAAACTCCGAGGTGTCCCTGTTTGCAGATGACGTGAAGTTGATGAGAAGAATTCATTCGATCGAAGACCAGGCAGAAATACAAAGGGATCTGGAGAGGCTGCAGACCTGGTCCAGTAACTGGCTCCTGGAGTTCAATCCCACCAAGTGCAAAGTCATGAGGATTGGGGAAGGGCAAAGAAGACCGCAGACGGAGTATAGTCTAGGGGGGCCAGAGACTACAAACATCACTCAAGGAAAAAGATCTTGGGGTGAGTAAACACCAGGCACATCTCCTGAAGCGCACATCAACCAAATAACTGCTGCAGCATATGGGCGCCTGGCAAACCTCAGAACAGCATTCTGACATCTTAATAAGGAATCGTTCAGGACCCTGTACACCGTGTACGTTAGGCCCATATTGGATTATGCGGCACCAGTTTGGAACCCACACCTAGCCAAGCATGTAAAGAAACTAGAGAAAGTGCAAAGGTTTGAAACAAGACTAGTCCCAGAGTTAAGAGGTATGTCCTATGAGGAGAGGTTAAGGGAAATCAACCTGACGACACTGGAGGACAGTAGAGATAGGGGGGACATGATAACGACTTACAAAATACTGAGAGGAATTGACAAGATGGACAAAGACAGGATGTTCCAGAGACTGGACACAGCAACACGGGGACACAGTTGGAAGCTGAAGACACAGATGAATCAAAGGGATGTTAGGAAGTATTTCTTCAGCCACAGAGTAATCAGGAAGTGAAATAGTTTGGGAAGCGATGTAGTGGAGGCAGGATCCATACATAGCTTTAAGCAGAGGTACGATAAAGCTCATGGTTCAGGGAGAGTGACCTAGTAGCGACCAGTGAAGAGGCGGGGCCAGGAGCTTGGACTCGACCCCTGCAACCTCAACTAGGTGAGTACACACACACACACACACACACACACACACACACACACACACACACACACACACAAAGACAGGAAGGATCACCTCCTACTGTTTCTCTGGACAGAGAGTGACCAGCCCCGAGACTGTGCTGCTGTGGCTGCGGCAGGAGAGACCACTAGCGGGGTCTACACCATCTTCCCAGCCTCCTGCACTGCCAGGTTCTCCGTCCAGGTGAGTTAGATTATTTTTTTTTTTGAGAGGTCAGTTCACACAGTGCAACCAGTCAGCTTTGTACACGTGCTTTACTCGTCGACAGAACAGTTATAAACTGTCCTGTTCATGAGAAGTCAGTTATGCACTGTTCTCTTCCTGACAGGTCAGTTAATGCCATTTCCTCTCTTCACTGGTTAGTTGTACACTGTTGCTGATTCTGACAGGTTATTTATAAGGTGTTCTCTTCTTGACAGGTCCTTCGAAGGTCAGGCATAAGCTGTTTTATTTTTGACAGGTCAATTACAAGTTATCTTCTTCTTTTCAGGTCAGCAATATGCTCTTTGATGTACCGATAAATTTTCGCAATTTTTCTCTTGACGAGTTTGTAACGGTTCAGTTTTATATCTTTCACTTGACAGGTAAGTTATACTCTAATTGAGATTTCACGCTTTCATGAACGCATCTGCAGAAATGTAGAAGGGGTAGAAGTGTGTACCATCTTGGTACAATGTAAGGGGACGCTATCTAACCTTAGCTACGTACCGTAGTGAGGCAGCGGCTGTGCTGAGTCCACAAGACACCATATTTACACAGTCAGTTGTACGCTCTTGGTAGTTCATTTACACGCCTTTTTTTAGTCCTGGCAGGTCGCTTATGCCTTATTTTCTTAGTATGTCACTTGAGGACCGTCTTGAAGGGCCGGCTGCAGCTGTGGGTGGTCTTGAAGTGCTGGTTTCACGTGTGGATAGCCTTGAAGTGCCGATTGCATGTGTGGGTCGCCTTGAAGTGCCTGTTGCAGGTGTGAGTCGTCTTGAAAAGCCGGTTGCAGGTGTGAGTCGTTGTGGAATGGCAAGTGCTCCCATTCACATTCTCAGACATCCCTCTCAGAATAAACTAGACCGTCCAGGCAGCTCAAATTGTAAACTTTTATGTATATTTACGAGGTAAACTTCGTCTTCTCGGCCATTGGAACTCAAGGACGACAGTCATCACTCAGACTGTCAGTATATGTGAATATCTACAGTTAATAACATAACAGAACATTGGAGAAAAAGATACGAAATCCAGATACACTTCTCAAATTATGGCTTGGCTGATGTAGAGCTCAAATCCAGACAAGGATAAATTGTGAAGCTTCGTCCAGGAATAACTGACAATTCTGTAACCAAGGAATAATATTAAAAGTCAAGTAGTTTTGTTGCTAGGCCCTTGTGGATCTACTGTGCTCTCACTCCACCCTCCACAGTCAGTTAGCTGCTACCCTCCACAGTCAGTTAGCTGCTACCCTCCACAGTCAGTTAGCTGCTACCCTCCACAGTCAGTTAGCTGCTACCCTCCACAGTCAGTTGCTGTACCTCCACAGTCAGTTAGCTGCTACCCTCCACAGTCAGTTAGCTGCTACCCTCCACAGTCAGTTAGCTGCTACCCTCCACAGTCAGTTAGCTGCTACCCTCCACAGTCAGTTTGCTGCTACCCTCCACAAATCAGTTAGCTGGCTACCCTCCCAATCAGTTAGCTGCTACCCTCCACAGTCAGTTAGCTGCTACCCTCCACAGTCAGTTAGCTGCTACCCTCCACAGTCAGTTAGCTGCTACCCTCCACAGTCAGTTAGCTGCTACCCCCACAGTCAGCTAGCTGTACCCTCACAGTCAGTTAGCTGCTACCCTCCACAGTCAGTTAGCTGCTACCCTCCACAGTCAGTTAGCTGCTACCCTCCACAGTCAGTTAGCTGCTACCCTCCACAGTCAGTTAGCTGCTACCCTCCACAGTCAGTTAGCTGCTACCCTCCACAGTTAACTGCTACCCTCCACAGTTAACCGCTACCCTCCACAGTCAGTTAGTTGCTACCCTCCACAGTTAGCTGCTACCCTCCACAGTTAGCTGCTACCCTCCACATTTAGCTGCTACTCTCCACAATTAGCTGCTACCCTCCACAGTTAGCTGCTACCCTCCACAGTTAGCTACTACCCTCCACATTTAGCTGCTACTCTCCACAATTAGCTGCTACCCTCCACAATCAGCTAGCTGCTACCCTCCACAGTCAGTTAGCTACTACCTTCCACAGTCAATTAGCTGCTACCCTCCACAGTGAGCTAGCTGCTACCCTCCACAGACAATTAGCTGCTACCTTCCACAGTCAGTTAGCTGCTACCCTCCACAGGCAGTTGGCTGCTACCCTCCACAGCCAACTAGCTGCTACCCTCCACAGTCAACTAGCTGCTACCCTCCACAGTCAACTAGCTGCTACCCTCCACAGTCAGCTAGCTGCTACCCTCCACAGTCAGTTAGCTGCTACCCTCCACGGCCAACTAGCTGCTACCCTCCACAGTCAGCTAGCTGCTACCCTCCACAGTCAGTTAGCTGCTACCCTCCACAGTCAGCTAGCTGCTACCCCCACATCAGTTTTGCTGCTACCCTCCACAGTCAGGTAGCTGCTACCCTCCACAGTCAGTTAGCTGCTACCCTCCACAGTCAGTTAGCTGCTACCCTCCACATCAACTAGCTGCTACCCTCCACAGTCAGTTAGCTGCTACCATTTACGTTAGTGCTACCCTCCACATTTAGCTGCACCTAACAATTAGCTGCTACCCTCCACAATCAGCTAGTTACTACCCTCCACAGTCAGTAAGCTACTACCTTCCACAATCAATTAGCTGCTACCCTCCACAGTCAACTAGCTGGTACCCTCCACAGTCAATTTGCTGCTACCCTCCACAGTCAGCTGCTACCCTCTACAGGCAGTTAGCTGCTACTCTCCACAGTCAGCTAGCTGCTACCCTCCACAGTCAGCTAGCTGCTACCCTTCACAGTCAGCTAGCTGCTACCCTCCACAGTCAGCTAGCTGCTACCCTCCACAGTCTTAGTGCTACCCTCCCACAGTCAGCTAGCTGCTACCCTCCACAGTCAGCTAGCTGCTACCCTCCACAGTCAGCTGTTGCTTTCCCTCCCACAGTTAGCTAGTGCTAAACCCCCCACATCAGTTAGTGCTACCCTCCACAGTCAGTAGCTGCTACCCTCCACAGTCAGCTAGCTGCTACCCTCCACAGTCAGCTAGTTGCTACCCTCCACAGTTAGCTAGCTGCTACCCTCCACAGTCAGCTAGCTGCTCCCTCCACAGTCAGCTAGCTGCTACCCTCCCCAGTCAGCTAGCGCTACCTCCACAGGCAGCTGCTACCCTCCACAGTCAGCTAGTTGCTACCCTCCACGTTAGCTAGCTGCTACCCCCCACAGTCAGCTATTACTACCCTCCCCCAGTCAGCTAGCTGATACCCTCCACAGTCAGCTAGCTGCTACCCTCCACAGTCAGCTAGCTGCTACCCTCCACAGTCAGCTAGCTGCTACCCTCCACAGTCAGCTAGCTGTACCCTCCCGTCAGCTAGCTGCTACCCTCCACAGTCCCGCTAGTGCTACCCTCCACAGTCAGGTAGCTGCTACCCTCCACAGTCAGCTAGTTGCTACCCTCCACAGTTGCTAGTCTACCCTCCACATCAGCAGCTGCTACCTCCACAGTTTAGCTAGCTGCTACACTCCCATCAGCTGCTGCTACCCTCCACAGTCAGTTAGCTGCTACCTCCACAGTCAGTTAGCTGCTACCCCCCACAGTCAGTTAGCTGCTACCCTCCACAGTCAATTAGCTGCTACCCTCCACGTCACTAGCTGCTACCCTCCACAGTCAGTTAGCTGCTACCCTCCACAGTCACCCCACAAGCTGCTACCCTCCACGTTAGCTGCTCTCCCTTCCACTCCCCTTAGCTGCTACCCTCCACATTTAGTAGCTACTCCTCCACAATCATTAGCTGCTACCCTCCACAGTCAACTAGCTGCTACCCCCCACATCAATTGCTAAACCCCACAGTCAGTAGTGCTACCCTCACACAGTTACTAGCTAATCACACCTTGCCCCTCCCAGTTAGCTGCTACCATCCACATTACTAGCTGCTACCTCCACAGTCAACTAGCTGCACCTCACATCAGCTAGTTGCTACCTCCACAGTAGCTAGCTGTACCCCCACAGTCATAGCTATACCTCCCAAGCAGCTAGTGGTACAACCACACACAGCTGTTTCCCCTAGCTAGCTGCTAAACCTCCACAGACAGCTGCTAACCTCCACAGTCAGTAGTGCTACCCCACAGTAGTAGCTGCTACCCTCCACAATCACTAGTTTACCCTCAAAAGTCAGCTAAACTGTACCCTCCACAGTCAGTAGCTGCTACCCTCAAAAAGTCACTAGCTGCTACCCCCACAGTCAGAGCTGCTCCCTCACAGTCAGTAGGCTAACCCCAAAATCACAGGCTAACCTCAAGCACAGGCACCCCCCATCAGTTAAAGTGTCCTAAGTCGTACTGTAACAACACTGCTACCCCAACAGCTAGTGCTAGCCCCTACTACTCTACCCCCAGTACAGCTAGTTGCTACCCTCCACAGAGCTACTGCTACCTCCACATAGTAGCTGCTAACCTCAACCAACCCCAAAACCCCAAATATTTCTCCAAGCATAGTGCTACACCACAGTCAGCACACTACCTAATACGTGCCTAACCACAGTCATATTTACCCTAACCGTACTTTACACAAAACAGTAGTAACTTGTGCCCTCCCACAGTCAGCTTAGCTGCTACCCTCCACAGTCAGTTTTGCTGCTACCCTCCACAGTCAGTAGCTGTTCCCTCACAGCAGTAGCTGCTCTTCCACAGTCAGCTAGCTGCACCCTCCACAGTCAGCTAGCTGCTACCCTCCACAGTTAGCTGCTTTCCCTCCACCCGTCAGCTAGCTGCTACCCCCCCACAGTCTTTGTTTCTCAAAACTCTCCCCACATCACTAGCTTACCCTCCCACTCAGTTAGCCTACTGCTACTTCCCTCCACAGTCAGTTTGCTGCTACCCTCCACGTCAAATAGCTGCTACCCCCACAGTCAAATAGCTGCTAACCCCTCCACATCAGTTTGCTGCTACCCTCCACAGCAGCTAGCTGCTACCCTCCACAGTCAGCTAGCTGCTACCCTCCCCAGCAGTAGCTGCTACCCTCCACAGTCAGCTAGCTG